CAACATTTGAAACTTCGTGTCCATAAGATGTTAAAAATGTTTGAAGGACATGCAGGAAAAGTTACCCTGAAAATTAAAATATATTTTAAAATAGTTGGGAAAACAGTTTGCATTACATTTTTAAACAATCAGCTGCTTTCCACTGAATTTTAAGGTCAGTGATATGATAACACTGCTTAGAAGAATTTCATTCATGTCTGCTAGGTTACCATGGAAGTGAACTGAACTAAACTGAATTTTGTAATGATGTAATAGGTAGCTGAATGGTTATCTTTTAATGAAATCATTTATTATAAATTGGTGATTATGAGTTCATTAGTACATTCAGCCAGTGATTGAATATTTTGAGTTTACAAGACTTTAACCCATTATTACTATAACATTCTATTTAGTAGCATTCTATATAGAATCACATTAGAGAGCTGAAGCTTGCAAAATTGATAGCCATAACAAAAAACTTTATCTGTAAGATGACAATTTGCCAGATTTTAGGTTACATGATTCTAGGCTACAGGTACAATAGAATTTTATTGGACTCCCAAGATCTTGGAAAGTGCATAACCTGCAAATAAGATTTGCTTATAGTAAGGAGAAAAGGGGAAACAAAGAGTTACGAATGTGGAGAAATAGGACACAGAGCCCAATCACCTGCCTTAAATAAGGCACTGCAAATCAGACTGCAGAACTGAACGTATAATAAGGATTATAAACAGATGTGTCAAAACATGCATCTGATATGTGGTGACATCACAGAAGATGGAAGAAAAAATCCAATCAGGATTTCTAGTGAATAAAAGAGTTGCTCTTGCAGGGTGAATAGAATTTTTTGGACTGAAGAGTGACCAAAGATGAAGTATTAAAGTGAATGGATGCAGTCAAGAAACCATGAAACACATACAATGCAAAAAGCAAGGATATATTAGTTAAGTATTGACTGAGAAATGTAATGGGAAATAGAAAAGATTTACTATTACTGCTGGTAATTCAGAGTAAAATAAATGGGGAAAAGTGTGGGAAGGAGAATAACATTTTGGCTGAAAACATTAGAGACTAATTTGGCTGGAACATATAATCGTTAGAATAGCCATGATGACATCCATCCTTTGCTGGGAGGAAGAGGAGTATGAAGAACGGGAACTTAGTGTATAGCCCTTTAACACTTTTGTAGGATGGTTAGAGTAGAATAAATTCTAAAAGTAAGCAACGACATGGATATGCACTTAAGTGTTACGGATATTATAGTTAACAGAGCATGCTGAATGAAACTACTTGAGAGATCAGGGATACTGAATACAATACTTCTGAGACAGTATAGATTCCTTTGCCTGGAGTTAATCATCTTAATGTTGTTCCATCCAATGGAAGAAGATGGAGATGACTTGGATAGGCCAAACAAAATGAAAGGAAATACCTTGAAAGAAGAAAAAAGAGACCCAAAGAAAAGTGGTTGTTGGATTTGACCTGTAAGACAGAATGTAGGTTCTGTACCCCTCCTCCAAAATTTGTGTGACTTACTTTATGTGTTGTGCTTGCACTTTATTTCTCCTGGTTATCATGTAAGTGGAATTGCACTCCAACAGGGGACACTCAACAGTTTTGTTTTCCTTACATATGCACAAAATTTGGATGTACAGCCGGAGAAAGACAGGTTAATGCAGAAAGCTAGCTATTTGGGTTCTTTTAGTGGTCTAATAAAGGTATCAGCTGCTCTTATTTTGTTTTATGTAAGGACCACATGGCATTTTCTAATTTATTTTGCCTTCCAGTTTAGACAGCAATGGCTTAGCATGAAATATGCTAAGCTCGCAATCTTCTGTTGCTTTATCTTGTAGCAAACCTTGTTGCACTCAGTAGAATATAGCTTTTGTGTGGTTATACATGCTGTATATCGAATTATGATGTAATTGTGCTTACTGAGGGGAGGGGGACTTGCCAAAGTTTCTGTAGTGTAGTGGTTATCACGTTCGCCTAACACGCGAAAGGTCCCCGGTTCGAAACCGGGCAGAAACATAAGCAGAATTTATTTTTTTTCTTAGAAAATGCTGTATTTCACCTTTATGGCCGCTTGTCTGAAAGGGAGCCGTTATTTTTCATCACCAAATTCCATGTATGTGTGTAGAAGACTGTAGTCTGAAAATTACAAGTACAGTATTTGTAAGAATAAAGCAAATGTAGTCTTAATTATTTTGATTTGGCTCTTTATTTGCCTCTTCTTGGAATATCAGAAAAGTATCCAATAAACTATTTGAAAGCAAAATAGAAAAAAACGTGATTTTAAAAACAAAACATGTCTATGATTTTTTTCACCAATATGTGTGTAATAACATATTTAAACAAGTACTGTATGTGTTTCTCCAATTAATGAATGGTGCAATCGATTCAATGGGAAATAATCGGAAGGGAAGTTTAAAGTTCCATAAGGAGTGCCGATACTTATGTAGGTTTGCGTGTTCAGGCTAATAAAAATCCTTTTAGGATAACCACATTACATGCATGCTTAGTACAACTGAATTAAAAGGAATAACCACACATCATGCCTCTTAAATTGATGCTAGATGGGACCGGAAGACTTATAAAGGGTAATTGCAAAGTCTATAGCAGGCAAGTTTCCGTAGTGTAGTGGTTATCACGTTCGCCTAACACGCGAAAGGTCCCCGGTTCGAAACCGGGCGGAAACACGATAAATTTTTCAATCCCTTCAAAACAATTTGTAAATACTGAAAACGTACAACTGACTCCTCTTGTTACTTTGCGGTAAGGAAAGAAAACGCCGTCCAAGTGCATATCTGCGTGATCCCCTGCTTTTTTTAAATCGATGTTTGAATATTTCACTATAAATTGTTAGCACCCAAGAGCCTGGACTAGATTCACGTATTTTCCTTTCTCAAAACTGTTCAAAGGAGTGCATGAAGATGCAGCAATTTTTGTCACCGACTTGCAGCAGCTCCAAAGTGCTAAATTTACGAGGAAACTATGTTATGTATCTTCGGGAAAAGGAAGACTTTTCGGGGTGGGGTTTTTTTTTGCAGGTGTAAATCCGGCCACCAAAGAAAAGGGATTATGCCCCCATTTCTCGTGTTTTGGATCTCAAATATTTCACTTGAGGGAGCCACTGACAATTACCTCTCTCCCAACCACCATCCCCCCCAAAAAAAACTTTAGGGAAGGAGGACGCCTGGGAAACCTGGATCAAGGTTTCGGGCGCGATGCATCATGGGAAGCGTAGTTTTTAACGCTTCTCTTTCTCACAAACGGGATTTTACCCAACCACCCCCCCTCCTCCATTTCGACCGTATCCCTCCGTCGCCCGCTTTGGTTCCCAGAGTTTACTGAGAACGGAAGTGAGATTTCAGGCCCCGCCAGCCGTCCAAGGAAGCGGCGAGGGGCGGCCGCGACATCGTAAAATGGCAGCCTGAGGGGAAGCGACACTTCGTGCTCGCCCTCACACCGACCCATCCCTGCCGCTTCCAGGTGCGTTTGTTAAAAATAATTCTGAAGGGGGTGACTGGACGCGACCAAGTTGGCATTTGCGGGGGGGGGGAGAGAAGAGAAGAGAGGAGAAAGGCGATGGAGGGGGGGGAGAAGAAGGGAATGCTGTGTCCTTGGAAGAGGGAAGGAGAAAAGCGAGGAGAAGCCGAGCGCGCCCTCTCTCTTTTTCTCTCTTTCTCCCTGTTTGTGTGTCAAGAATGTCTGTTAGCTGATCATAGGTTGGAGGAAAAGGAGCGACCTGCCCGAAGCCAGAAGCTTTTGAGAACATATGAAAGGCGGGCCAAAGATAAATTATATAGATTGTTGTTTAGTGTTTAGTCATGTCCGACCCTTCATGACCCCATGGACCATAGCACGCTAGGCCCTCGTCTCTTCCACTGCCTCCCAGAGTTGGGCCAATTTCATGCTGGTAGCTTTGATGACACTGTCCATCTCGTCTTCTCTTATCAAAGCTACCAACTATGAATCTGACCAAATTCCAGGAGGCAGTGGAAGACAGGAGGGCCTCCTGTGCTCTGGTCCATGGGGTCACGAAGAGTCAGACACAACTTAACAACTAAACAACAACAAAAGCTTTGGTGACACTGTCCAGCCATCTCGTCCTCTTGCCCTCACACTTTCCCAACATCAGGGTCTTTTCCAGGGAGATTTCTTCAGGATCTGTGCTTCAAGTGAGCACTCAGGGTTGATTTCCTTCAAAATGGATAGGTTTTATCTCCTTGCCAGTCCAGGGGACTCTCAAGAGCTTCCTCCAGCACCACAATTCAAAAGCATCAATTCTTCAGTGGTCTGCTTTCTTTATGGTCCAGCTCTCACTTCCATACATCGCTACTGGAAAAATCATAGCTTTGACTATGCGGACCTTTGTTGGCAAGGTGATGTCTCTGCTTTTTAAAATGCTGTATAGGTTTGCCATCGCTTTCCTCCCAATAAGTAGATGTCTCTTAATTTTGTGGCTGCTGTCACCATCTGCAGTGATCATGAAGCCCAGGAAAGTAAAATCTGTCACAGCCTCCAGATCTTCCCCTTCTTTCTGCATTCAATTTTCTGTAACTTTCCTTATCTCCCTTGCTTTTTGTTTCTCTTCTCTGCTATTTGTAAGGCCTCGTTGGTCAGCCACTTGGCTTTCTTGCATTTCCTCTTCTTTGGGATGGTTTATGTTGCTGCTTCCGGTACAATGTTACGAACCTCCATCCATAGTTCTTAAGGCACTCTGTCCACCAAATCAAATTCCTTAACTCTGTTCTTCACTTCCACTGTGTATTCATAAGAGATTTGGTTTAGATTATACCTGACTAGTCCAGTGGCTTTTCCTACTTCCTTCAGTTTAAGCTTGGATTTTGCTATAAGAAGCTGATGATCAGAGCCACAATCAGCTCTAGGCCTTGTTTTTGCTGACTGTATAGGGCTTCTCCATCTTTGGCTGCAGAGTACATAATCAATCTGATTTTAGCATTGCCCATCTGGCGATTTCCATGTGTAGAATCGCCTCTTGTGTTGTTGGAAAAGAGTGTTTGTGATGACCAGCTTGTTCTCTTGACAAAACTCTATTAGCCTTTGCCCTGCTTCATTTTGAACTGCAAGGCCGAACTTACCTGTTGTTCCTTTTATCTCTTTTTTGTGTGTGGGTATTGAGGCATAACCCTCCCTCTCACTCCAGAGTAGTAATTTCCAACCTTGGGTCCCCAGATGTTCTTGGACTAAAATCCCAGAAGCCTTCACCCCTAGCTGTGTTGGCCAGTATTTCTGGAAGTTGTTGTCCAAGAACATCTGGGGCCCCAAGTTTGGAAACCACTGCTCTTGAGCTCTTGCTTGTGTCAACGTAAGTCTCTCTGTCAAGGATACACTGCAGAGTTCCGGTGCATTCACATTTATTTCTGGGACTATGCTACCTTTCTGTCTCAGTCCCTACTTTAGCATTCCAGTCCCCTATAATGAGAAGAACATCTTTCTTTGGTGTCAGTTCTAGAAGGTGTTGTAATTCTTCATAGAATTGGTCAATTTCGGCCTCTTCAGCATCAGTGGTTGTTGCATAAACTTGGATTACTGTAATGTTGAAAGGTCTGCCTTGGATTCGTATTGAAATCATTCTATCATTTTTGAGATTGTATCCCAGTACAGCTTTTCCCATTCTTTTGTTGACTATGAGGACGACTCCTTTTTTTCTATGAGATTCTTACCCACAATAGTAGATATGTTGATCATCTGAATTGAAGTCACCCATTCCCGTCCATTTTAGTTCACTCGCGCCCAGGGTGTTCGTATATAATTCAATCGGACTTCATGGCCTGCCATGACAGGGCAGCAATCCGTGAAGGGCTTATATATTGGTAGGTCTCTATTTGATGGCTCGACTGTTAGTGAAATAGGATCATTAACAGCAAGGAAACTACTTCCTCGTTAAACAACACTGCTGAAATGAAAGAAAACTTGGTTTTTAATTGGGAATGCTTACCCCCCCCCCTTAAAAGGACTGCCAGCATCACTCACTTCTGATCTTAAGAACAGATTCTGCGGTGTAGGATGCTTTAAGGGCTTTTGCATCTCGTAAACATGGTTGGCTCTTAGGGTTACACTGAAGCTGATCCTAGAAACCAGGAAGCTGTTCCCTCTTTGCAAAAATGACCGAGCCAACTTTTGTGTGTGTGTTGCTTCGGAGGATAGGAAACAACACACACTTCCTATGTGGGTTCAAATTTTGCGAAAAGGGATTTAGTCCAAGGTTGAGAATAATTTCCCGATTTTTGAAGTTTTTCAGCTGGGAAGCAGATGGCCTCAGAAGGTGGTAAACTTCGTGAGAGATAGTTCAGAAAATGCTGGATCACTGTTTTTCATTGACCTGCAAGATCATGCGACCTGAGGCCTTTCTCCATTCTGTGATTTTAGGATTGTGCCCTGGAGAGTTGAGTGAAGTTTAGAAGTGTGGCTGCTCTTTTCAGGATGAATAACAGGGAACAAATCCACTAGTCTAGAGAGGGGCTCCCTGCTTTGTAGTAAAAGTGCATGCTGTAAATACACGTAGAGTATAAAATGGCAAAACAAAGATGCAGTTATATTGTACATTATTTAGGAAGTATGTTTAATAGAAACAAATAAATACAATTTACTGCTAATAAACCTGTCTGTAAAATATAGTTCGTATATAATTCAGTTGGACTTCACGGCCTATAGGCCCTTCCAACTCAATTATTTTATGATCCTATGATGGGCTACCTGGTCAGTTATGGGACTGGAGTTGTCAGGGATGAAACACAGTGGCTGGTGCATGAGTAAATGGTTTCTTGAGCCAAGTGGTTTTGGATGGATGGAGGATTGATATGATAAAAAATGGGGGGCTGAGGTTATTGCCATGTCAGGCATCTGTGTGAGAGAAGGAGAAAATGAAATGCACAATTAAGCAGTACTTTCTAAGAATCATCCAAAATATGCAAGTTTTTGAGTTCTCTAAAATATTTCTGCCAATGTGGCAGAAATAGATTGGAGTTAGGAGAAGAAATGGAAGTCCAGAAATTAAGGCAAATGCAATGGCTATGAAGTGTGCTTCAAAAGATCCATTTTCAAGATGGGAGATTCAACATTTAGTGATGGAGATTCTTGACTGGTAGGTGTTAAGATGTTAAATCACACCTAGTCATATATGCCTGGATAAGGGGACAGTGACCATGCTGGCTTAAAACGCCAGTGTGTGTTTCATTCCAATGCATTCCAAAGCTATTATAATTTAACAATGTGTCCCCTTCCTTAGACTCTTTTTTTCTAATCAGAGGAATGCCATTAAAAAGTTGTTTCTCTAGTTGATATTGCCAGAAGTCACCTCTGCCTGTAGTGGTTGATCATAAAGTCCTTTCTAGTATGTAGCTTTTTCAATGACTTGTGTAAAAAGTCTATTAAATAACTTTAATTTTATGAGATGCTGGTTATTGGAATGCTGTTTTGGGTGCCTAGATCTTCCTGTAAATCCCATGTTTTTTCTACAGTGATAAAATCTTTTCTTCTTCCTTCCTCTTCCTCACCAGCTGTTTAGAACAGAGGTTGGCTACTAAGTGCCTTCCACTTTTAGACCACAACTCTGAAAGGACTCATAATCAGGGATTATGAAAATTGTAGTCTAGAAATATAAGTATGGTTTATATGTTTGGTTTAGATTTAGAATATAACTCTTTCTGGGACCATGTTGCTTCTGCTTTCTGTTCTGTGCCTGGCACACTAATGCTAAATATGTGTCCTTTGCTTTCTTAGGCCAAAGGGAAGAAGCTGTGTCCCACTGCCCAAAATGCAGTGTTCCCATCACTGTGAGCACCTATTACAGAGACTGAACAAACAGCGAGAGGTGGGCTTCCTGTGTGACTGCACCATCATTATCGGCGAATTCCAATTCAAAGCTCACAGAAATGTTCTGGCTTCCTTTAGCGAGTACTTTGGGGCTTTTTACAGGGATACTTCAGAGAGTAATGTATATTTGGATCAGAATCAAGTGAAGGCTGATGGATTTCAGAAACTTCTGGAGTTCATATATACAGGAGATTTAACTCTTGACAGGTAATACAATGAAACTGGGAATTTCCTTGCATAGGGTACAGATGATCACTTTACGGAGAATATATTGCTGCCTTATGGATCATAGTCCCAATTAAGTAACTGCCACAGAAGGAGCAGATTAACACAAAAGTGAACTAAAATATGTATATGTCAAACAGAAATTGAAGTATTAGCTTAGTGCATTGGCAGCCACATTGCACACAGTTTGAGTGGGTTAATTATAGTGAGTCTACTTAATAATAATAATTTATTGTCATTGTAAGTATATACACATACAACGAAATTCACATTCACATACTTAGTTTCTTCAGGAGAAATACAGTACAGTGGTGCCTCGCTTGACGAGGATAATTCGTTCCATTCAAATCGCTGTTAAGCGAAATCCTCGTCAAGCGAAATGAAAAAGCCCATTGAAATGCATTGGAAACCGGTTCAGTGCGTTCCAATGGGCGAAATACCTCAGCATCCAGCGAAGATCTTCCATAGGGCAGCCATTTTCGATGCCTGTAAAGTAAGGAATCCATCCTTAGACACAGCGTGGAGCCATTTTACACAGCAGGCGACCATTTTGAAGACCCGACGATCAGCTGTAAAGATAGTCGTTAAGCGAAAAATCGGTTCCTGAAGCAGGGAACTGATCAACGTTAAACGAAAAAACTCCATTAAATCATCATTTAGCGATCGCAAAAAAACTAATCATCAAGCGATTTCCTCGTCTAACGAGGTAATCGTCAAGCGAGGCAGTACTGTATAGTGCTGTGGTATGATGTGAAGAATATTTACGGAAACATATTGAAGTGGTTCACTACCGTTCTATGCAAAGCAAAACTAACGCACATATACGTAAGATTCTAGCCAATAATGTTAATTTCTCTTGTAGCTTTCCTATTGTAGCACAATGGCTTGAACATTGAATTTGCATCTGGGACACCCAGGTTCAGATTTTCACTAGGCCATTATGCTTATCGCAAAGCCTCGGACAAACCAGTGATCCGTTTCATTTGTAATGCTAAAACACTGGCTAAAACCTGTTAGTTATATCTGCTAGTATAATCCAATTGGTATAAATCTCAGTAGTGAATTGTCACAGGTTAAGAAGTCAGCAGAGGCATTTGCTGTTGCTCACTAAATCTTTCTGCAATTTGCTACCAGAATTTACACTGATTGTATAAATGGTGATATTAAAACACAGTTAAATTTGGGCAATAATTTAGTGTAAAGGAAATCAAAGCTTAGAAATGTTAGTTTTCAGGTCTGCTGCTCTCAGAATCTCTCAATCAGCTTTTCCATCTGGGAATCTCTAAAAAAATTAATTTGCCAGGCTGAGAAGAGAACAAGGCTTGATTCATGGACTGTCGTCTCTCATTATGGTGTATCTCCAAAAATGGGAGTATAGTAACACCCATTTCCCTATTACACTGTAAAACGTGGTGTGATAGCCATAGCTGTGTCATTTTTGTGCAGCCTCCAGCTATGTGGATTCCCTATGGCTACCCCCAAAAGGTTATCTTGGTTCAATGAGTTGATCTTCAGTTTCACACATATTGGATAACAGCCTGACTTCCTAAAAAATAATAATCTGTTTTTATCTACCTTGTTCAATATAATATTTAAACAGATTTTTTTAAAGACAGCCATGTTTCTTTTACGTGGTACATTCCAATTGAACTTGTTTTTCTTTCCAGTTGGAATGTTAAAGAAATACATCAGGCTGCTGACTATCTCAAAGTGGAGGAAGTAGTCACCAAATGTAAAATAAAAATGGAGGACTTTAACTTTATTGCTAACCCTGCCTCTCCAGAAATCTCTAGTATTACTGGAAACATTGCTCTGAACCAGCAAACCTGCCTGTTAACCCTCCGTGACTACAATAATCAGGAGAAATTGGATGCCCCTTCTATGGACCCCATTCAGTCCCCTGTTTTAACAACCACCTTGGAAAAAAAACCCGCTCATACTAAAAAACGAAAGAAGGCCTTCAACGCCCCTAAAAATCTGCCAAGCAAACCTGTACAATATCCAGGTGATGTCTCGGAGAATTCTGCTGTGGAGATGTTTTTAGATGCAAATAAATTGGCAACAGAGATAACAGAACAAGCTGCCCAGGGCGGGGATAATTCGGAACTGCAGCTTACACCTGTGGTGGAAAGCGAAACACTTGCTGCCCAGGAAATTGTTGGTCAGACGATAACTCTGAAACACAAGCGGAGCAAAGTGCAGCAGGGTTGTGCTTTGAAGGAGCATCGCCTGTCTAACATCACCAGTGACAAGAACTCTTACCAGCTGGAGAACTTGGGAGAGGAACTGGATCAGAAGTATTCCAAGTCCAAGCCAGTTTGTAACACCTGTGGGAAAGTGTTTTCTGAAGCCAGCAGTCTGAGACGGCACATGAGAATCCACAAAGGTGTTAAGCCCTATGTGTGCCAGCTCTGCGGGAAGGCCTTTACACAGTGCAACCAGCTGAAAACACATGTAAGAACTCACACAGGTAGGCTCGGTGCTTGGTGTTGAGAGTTACTGCTTGGGAATACAAGCAGGATACCCTACCTGTTCTCTCTGTTAAGTTACCTTCCCGCCCCCAGCATTTTGCAATGGTACTTGCTGTAGATGGATTATTAGAAGACTTACGTGAGGTTCTGGAATTTCCCTCACCACCTTTGTTTTGATTTTAGTTACCGTATTTTTCGCTCCATAAGACGCACTTTCCCCCCCAAAAAAGTGGGTGGTGGAGTGTGTGCATCTTATGAAGCGAATACAGTTCCACCACCACCACCTCAGAAGGAGGCAGAGATGGTGGCAGGGGGGACCCGCGCGGTACCTTCTGAGACCTCCGGAGGCCTCTGAAGGCAGAGATGGTGGCAGGGGGGGACAGTATTTGCTTCATAAGACACACTTACCCCCCCAAAAAAAGTGTGGGGGGAAAGTGTGTGCATCTTATGGAACGAATACAGTCCCACTACCTCAGAAGGCAGAGATGGTGGCAGGGGGGAACCCCTGCAGTGCCTTCTGAGTCCTCTGGAGGCCTCTGAAGGCAGCGATAGTGGCGGGGGGGACAGTATTCGCTTCATAAGACACTCCCCCCCCAAAAAAAAGTGTGGGGGGAAAGTGTGTGCATCTTATGGAGCGAATACAGTCCCACCACCTCAGAAGGCAGAGATGGTGGTAGGGGGGACCCCCGTGGTGCCTTCTGAGGCCTCCGGAGGCCTCTGAAGGCAGCGATAGTGGCGGGGGGGACAGTATTCACTCCATAAGACACACACATTTATTTAATTATTGGTATTTGAAAATTAGGTGCGTCTTATGGTCAGGTGTGTCTTATGGAGCGAAAAATATGGTATGTTTTTCCTGGGCAGCAAGGTAGGACAGATAGATCCTTACAAATCAAGCTATCTATATCAGTATTTAATCTGCTGCTTGGCCCTTTGATTAAGATAATGTGTTCTGTTTATTTCAGGGTAGATCCTCTGATTTTGCTGGATTGTAAATTCCCATCATCCATTACCACTGGTTATGTTAGCATTATAGTCCAGCATCTGAAGGACCACAAGTCTCTGTCATCCCGGCCTGCCACTATGGAAAGCAACAGTATAGTAGATGAACCAGTGGTCTGATCTGGTATATAGACAGCCTCTTACATTACCAAATGTAGATTGAATGTTCTGTGTTGGTCGAGCTGGTGTGATCCAGCTTCTGATCTGAAATTGTATCGAACAAATGGTGCAAGTGAGATTTGAGCTGGCGGCTTCCTGCTAATTTGCAAAACCATCAATACTTGGGTGAATTCAAGCCTAGCACTGCTGACTTGAATTTAGACACATTATCCAAGACATTTTTGGCATGTTTTTTCCCTTTATTTTGAGCTTTGTCCCTTCCCTTGGGTATATCATCCTAGTTCATAGTTCTGATGTTTCTTTCTCATCCTTCATGAGACAGGGCTAAAGTAAGCAGGTGATTTTTCCCGCAGGTGAGAAACCTTACAAATGTGACCGTTGTGATAAAAGCTTTGCTCAGAAATGCCAGCTGGTTTTTCATAGCCGTATGCATCATGGTGAAGAGAAACCTTACAAGTGTGACGCCTGCAACCTGCAGTTTGCAACCTCTAGCAATTTGAAAATTCATGCCAGGTAAGTGAAAAGAGGCATTGCGTGAAGCTGACTGGTTTAGTTTAAAAAAAGGTTTTCCCCAGAGAAAGAGCTGATTCTAAACTGATAGAATTCAACTTGCTCATTTTGTTTAGGAAGCACAGTGGAGAGAAGCCATATGTCTGTGATAGGTGTGGCCAGCGATTTGCGCAGGCGAGCACTCTGACGTATCACGTACGGCGACACACAGGGGAAAAGCCTTATGTCTGTGACACCTGTGGGAAAGCTTTCGCTGTCTCAAGTTCACTCATCACACACTCAAGAAAGCATACAGGTGAGGAGATGCTAAATTATTAGTCTTGCTGAGAAACTGAGAGCGAGCATGAAGCAATATAAGGAGGTCTCACAGTAGAGTTGCTAATTTCTGCTCAAGAAAGCATACAGGTGAGGAGATGCTGAATTATTAGTCTTGCTGAGAAACTGAGAGTGAGCATGAAGTAATATAAGGAGGTCCCACAGTAGAGTTGCTAATTTCTCATTCACAGAGAAATAGAACATGTTAACCCTTTCTAATCTGTTCTGTTGCCTGTTGACACGAACACCACTTGATGGCAATTTTAACTTCCCATGTTCAGCCATAGCGCACTAGTCGTGTTTGATAGTGGAAAATGGGTGGCCTGTGCTTTGATAGATTGCCTAGAAATAGACTGCCTGGATGCTTCAAGACTACAGTAGCCTCTAGGAGAAAGACTGCATGCTTTGCAGATAGGAAGTCCAGATGATGGGTCCTGGGCAAAACCCCAGTGAGAACGGCTGCAAGGCTGATAGACCTTGGTAGGTTAGATCTGCTGTGGGCAGGCTTTGGAAGATGGGGGATAAAGTACTGTCAAAAAAAGCAAACCTGGAGACAGATGGAATTCCATTTCCAGTTTTGTAAAGTCTCTTTAGGGAGGGCAAAATAAAGGTGGATTTTAGGGAGGGCAAGGGTGGAGAGTGCATTCCTGCTTTAAAGACAAGTTAAGTCTCTGGCTGTGGAACCAGAGGCAGGAAGTTCAGTTCCCCACTGTGCTTCGCAGAAGAGCCAGCCTGCGTGGCCTTGGGCAAGCTGCACAGTCTCAGGGTGCCCCCAGAAGGAGAGAATGGTGAGCTACATTTGAGTCCTCTTTACCTAGAAAACACCAAAAAGGGTTGCCACAAGTGACTAACCTGTTGGCACACTGTTGATGTTAAAATAGGGGTCGACAGTGCACCCTTGTATAAGACAAAAGTGGTGCTTCTAGTTTTTTCTAGGAGTAGAAACGGCCTTTTTTCCCCCCAAGCCAACGACTTTAGGGAAATCTGAGGGTGGCTGAGGAAACCCTAAAACAAAACTTCGGAGGATTACATGCCACTCTTAAGGCTACAAGATCCCTCTCTCTAGGTTAGAGGGGCCAATAGTATGGCTGTATAGGTCAGCTTCATATTGTGAATCAGAGATGGGAATCGGTGGTCCAGAAAATGATTTTGGACTCCTCTGACTCCTAGAATCCCAGCTGGTGATCAGAGATAACGAGAGCTGTGGTCCAGCTCCCAAGTGGAGGGGCACAAGTGCCCCACTTCTGTTATAAATGGAGCTGTGCTGCCTGCATTGAAGCAACTACAGTATTTAGAATGGACAACATAAAATAAGAAGGATATAGACATTGTTTGTGTCTGTTGATGCCTTCTGATGGGGGAAAACTAAAGTCTGCTTCTGTTCTTGTGATTCCAGAAGGTTGTTGTCAGTAGATTGCATGCTGGATTAATCAGCTCCTTTTTCTCTCTAGGGGAGAAACCATATATATGTGGCATTTGTGGGAAAAGTTTTATTTCTTCAGGAGAGCTCAGCAAACACTTTCGGTCTCATACAGGTTTGTATTAAGGCATGCTTCTTCCTATGTGTTACTCTTTCTAGACTTAATTTGTGCTTATGCACCTACCAAGATTACTTAATGTCAAATAGGTATTACTCTGCATGCTCCAGGCCACAGACCCACACCAACAGACACCTGCATTTTGTTCTCCCAGAAAAGGGTCTTGTCTCAAAGGCTGCATGGTTCTCTCAGACATAATTCTTGTTGTTAATGTGAAGAAAAAAAGCTATCACAGTATTTCCTGGGCATGATAGTTCTTCAAGAAGTGCCTTCTATAGAGGCTTAATGGTAGCAAGACTACAACTCCCAGAAGCATCACTGCAGCTTTTTTTGGGCGGTATACAGTGGTACCTTGCAAGACAATGACTCCACTAAATGAGGAATCTGCATGACAATGACTTTTTGCGATCGCTATAGCGATTCGCAAAACAGTCATTCCATGGGGGATTTTCTCTGGACGTTGATTAGGTCCGTGTTTCGCAAACCGTTTGACAGTCATTCCAGTGGGGGATTTTCTCTGGACATTGATCAGGTCCGTGCTTCGCAAACCGTTGGTTTGCAAGACAATGATTTTTACAGCTGATCGTCGGTTTCACAAAATGGCTGCCCTGTGTTTTCCGGACCCACGCTTCGCAGGATACCCATTTTTACAGCTGATCAGCGCTCGCAAAATGGCTTCCCTATGGGCGATCTTTATTTATTTATTTATTTATTTAAATTTAGGGATCTCAAGGTGCGGGATGATGGCCTGATTCCCACCACCCCTTCCGCAATAAAAACAAGTGGTGGGGTGAATCACTCTTTATTGGCTTCCCTATGGGCGATCTTCACTGGATGACGAGGTATTTTCCCCATTGGAACGCATTAAACCGGGTTTAAATGCATTCCAGTGGGGAAACGGATTTCACATGACAATAATTTCGCTAAACAGCGATTTCAATGGGATGGATTATGGTCGTCATGCGGGTCACCACTGTATTAACAACCAGAGGTAGACCGGAGATTGTCCTGCAGCCTCTGAGACTGGCCCAAGTGAGTGAAATTTAGGGATCTCAAGGTGCGGGATCATGGCCTGATTCCCACCACCCCTTCCACAATAAAAACAAGTGGTGGGGTGAATCACCCTTTAGTAAAAATCATTTCTGGTTGAGGATTTAACCAGATCTTCATTTAGTTCATAAAGCTGTGACTTTCAAACTAGTATGCCATCATAAAATTTAAAAAAAAGCTTTGTAAGAAGGCAGCTTTTTTTTCCTATGGTCAGATTACTAAATTAAGACTCCAGTCCTCAAATGCTTGCTGGAAAGTGAATCACATTGAATAGGCTTCATCTGGAGTACATTTCTTAGATTTGCACTGTTATGTCTGTGGAGCGTGACAGGTTTTTTTTTGTTTGTTTAAGGTGAAAGACCATTCGTATGTGAGTTGTGTGGAAACTCCTTCACAGATATAAAAAGCCTCAAGAAACATAAAGCAAAGGTCCATACAGGTAGGAGGAACTGGTTATTTGAAAATACGTAGTATTTCTAGAAACATAGCCTGAAAGGCCACCTACTTAGCCTGCTTGTTTGTAGGCAAGCCCCCCCCCCTTCACCTGTCCTTTATAGTTCAGTGTGTATTGAACTAAAATGGTGGGTTTTATTTTTTTTATCTTAGTCTGACCCTGTAACATGGATAGGTAGCATGATGCTCTGCAGAAGTATTGGATTACAGATCCAGTAATTCCTGATCAGTGCTCATTTTTGATGTGAACTTTTATTTATTTATTTAATTTATATCCCGCCTATCTAGTCTTGTTAGGACCACTCTAGGCGGCTAACAACATAACATTTTGTTGGAAATGCCTGGAAGATACATAAGTTATTTGAAAATACGTAGTATTTCTAGAAACATAGACTGAAAGGCCACCTACTTATCTGTCTGTTCGCTCTTAACTGCTCTGTCACACTGTTTTCTTGAGCCTATGAAGATATTTCTGTATGAAAATAGAGAAATAATTCAAAGAAAACTTTCCAAGTCACTAGAAAAGGGAACTGGATAGTCAAGAATATTTGCAAAAGGAGGTGTCACATTTAAGATATCCATCACATGGGTTTTGTTTGCCATCATGTGTGAAGGTGTTTGTGACTTTAGGTAAGAGATACAGTGGTGCCTCGCTTGACGATGTTAATTCGTTACAGCAAAATTGCTGTAGAGTGAAAATATCATCAAACAAAATAAAAAAGCCCATTGAAATGCATTAAAACCCAGTTAATGCGTTCCAGTGGGCTGAAAACTCACCGTCCAGCGAAGATCCTCCATAGGGGCAGCCATTTTCCATGCCTGTGCAGCGAGGAATCCGTCCCTAAGCACAACGGGGGGGGGCATTTTCTTCACTCGGTGGCCATTTTGAAACCCAGCAATCAGCTGTTTTTGATCGTCGTAAAGCGAAAATCAGTTCCCGAAGCAGGGAACCGATCATCGCTAAGCGAAATTCCCCCATTTAGACCATCGTTTTGCAATTGTAATTGCGATCGCAAAAACCTCATCAGTCATAAAGCGAAAATTGGTTCCCGAAGCAATTGAGACTGCAAAAACCTCATCGGAAAACGATTTCCTTGTTAAACGAGGCAATCATTAAGTGGGGCACTACTGTACTTGAAATGGCCTATTCCAGCTCCAATTTTATGATCAGAATTTGAATACTGGTTTCAGGGTGGCTGTTTCTGAGATCCTTTCTTACTAACTGTGTCATTATACTTTCAAAGCAGGGACATTTATAACTCCATTACTAGGTTTTGTAAACTTCTGTTGCTCTTCTCGGCTAAAATATAAACTTCAAATTCCAGTATATGAAGAGCTGGCGGGGGGCCAACTTTGCGAGGTCTGAAGACTGTTTTTTTGCATTCACCCAATTTAGTGGGATATATCTACATCCTCTCTAAGCTCACCCAGTCTCCCAAAGTTTCTCGCTTGAGAATGGCTAATTCCTTTACAAGCTTCTTGACATGTTATTTTGAGGGGGCATCACTGTCCAAGATAACGTTTAAAAAGGCGGAAATGAGCAGAAAGTCATTTTGAGATTTTCAATTAATGCTGTTTTGCGGGTGCTGGCCTAGTCTAAACATTAGTGATGGTGGCCAATATTTTTGGCTTATGGCGGGGCATATGAGTGGTGCCTCGCTTAGCGACGATAATCCGTTCCAGGAAAATCGCCGTTAAGCGAAAACATCGTAAAGTTAAAAAAAACCATTGAAACGCATTGAAACCCGTTCAGTGCATTCCAGTGGGGTAAAAACACACTGTCCAGCGAAGATCCTCCATACAGCGGCCACTTTCGCTGCCTGTATAGCGAGGAATCCGTCCCTAAACACAGCGGGGAGCCGTTTTAATTACCCGGCAGCCATTTTGAAACAGCAGATCAGCTGTTAGAAAAACATCATTTTGCGAAGAGTCAGTTCCCGAAGCAGGGAACTGATCATCGCAAAGCGAAATTCTCCCATTTAGACCATTGTTTTGCGACAGAAAAGATTGTCGTTAAGCGGATTCGTCGTAATGCAGGGCAATCGTAAAGCGGGGCACCACTGTACTGTCTGTGGGTGTATTCTTTATCCATCTAATGTAGGTGCTTTCAGGAAAGAATATACTCTTATGTTCTGTTCATCCGTACAGGTTCTGAGAACCCTCAAGAGGCTGTCACGTTTGACCATTCCATCAATGATAAAGACTCCATTCCAGGTGAGAAGAGCCCTTTACTGGAGCCTGGAGACATAAAGCCTTCAGACATAGCATTACCTCTCCCAATTGGAACAGAAGATCACCAAGTGCTGTTGCCTGTTACAGACAGTCAGTCACCCTCGTCAGACAGCCTTCTAAGGTCCACTATCACTGGGTATTCAGAACCTCAATTTATTTTCCTCCAGCAGTTGTATTGACATCCTACCAGTTATGAACCTTTGGAATCAAGAGTGTCTTTGGTAAAGGGAATAGAGTCATTACCAGCTATTACTAACCTGGACTTCACTTTGGTTCCAGGTTAGGAACAATTAAAGCAATTTTTCATTCTTATGTTTTGTTAATCTAGAACAAAAAACTTTGTATTTTCTCATTTCAAAAAGTCAAGATGGCATTTTCTAAGAACAATTTTTTTCTTCAACCCCTGCATTAAACATTAAACATTGATCCTTGACCTAAGTAACCGAAACGTATGTACTGAGAAACACTAAATTCTACAACTCAGGAAAATTGAGCATCAGTGTAATTTATCTTTGTGCTACTGTTAGGAAAAGCCTAGAAGAACTGTAGTACATTGAAACTGCCTCAGTGACGGAAAGTCTTATTGTCAGTTCCTCTGAGTATTGAAATTTCACTAGACACTTGCTAGAAATTTTGAAAAATATTTCCAAAGCCTTTTTAAAGCTATTTAAAGAGAGGGGTAAAAAAGAAAATTCAGATTCTGGAGTAGCCAAATTCTCTCCCCCTACCATATTATCGACTTTTTCTAAGTTCTTTATGGCAGTACAGGGGTGAACTCAGTCCTCTTGACTATTCAGCTGTTTTAGATGGGGGTTTGAATTCCTATGAGTGGTAGATGCAATAGGTATTGGCATAGTTTTTTGGTCACTGAAACAGAAAACATTAAGGAGACGTGGAGTTTCTAAATAACTCTTGGTTCAGTGTTTCAGGACATGTGGATGGACATGTAAGTCATAATCACTTATAATGCAAATACTTTTTCCCAGGTGTTCTTAATTATAAATGTTCAAAGAAGTAGCTGTCTTAGTCAATGGAAACATATCAGGCAACTGCTATATTTTATTGTGAGCTTTCAAGAACTGGACTTGATCCGCAAAAGCTTGCATTAAAATACAGCAGTTAGCCTTCAGGGTGCTACAACATCCCTCTCTCTCTCTCTCTCTCTCTCTCTCATCTAATTACAAGTACAGTAGGACACCCATATCTGCAGGGGATTGGTTCAACCCACACACCCCTGGCGCATGCTGAAAACTGCAGATAATAGCAAGTGCTATACATAGCATGGTAAAAGGCGGGGGGGGGGAATCCAGAAAAAAAATATTTTCACCATGTAGTACCACAAATGACCACTAGAGGGAGCCATGTGCCATGCTACAGTCAATTCCCGACTTATGAAATTAATCCATTCTGGAACAGCGTTTGTAAATTGAAAAGTTCGTTAAGTCGATTTCCTATAGGAATGCATTGAAACCTTGTTGATCCGTTCTGGCCCAATCAATCAATCAATCAATCTTAAAAAGTTCGTTAAGTCGATTTCCTATAGGAATGCATTGAAACCTTGTTAATCCGTTCCGGCTGAATAAAAAAAATACAATAAATAAATCAATAAATAAATAAATAACAAAACACCAACCCCACCAGCCCAATTCCACACTGCAAAAGAAAAAGGTGTGCAAGTGTAGTCCGTTCTTCCGAGCGGGGGGGGGAGGCTGGATCGCCTTTCTCTCCCGCCCCACGGCTTCTCCCAAAGGGCTGCTCCCGATGGCTTTTGCGGCAGCAGAGAAGTCGCGTGGGGGGGGGAGAAAGGCGATCCAAAAAGCCATCGGGAACAGCCCTTTGGGAGAAGCCGCAGGGCGGGAGAGAAAGGAGATCGGCAGTTTTGGAGCTCTCAAAGGGCTTCCTCCGATGTTGGGCACAAAGTCCTTTGAGAGCTCCGAATTCGCATTTCCCGCCCTTTCTGCCTACCTTTTTGCCTTCGGAGCTCTCAAAGGACTTTCCGCTGACATCGGAGGAAGCCCTTTGAAAGCTCCAAAGCCGCTGATTGCGGCCGCGGGGACCCCCAGGGAGGTCTCCCAGGGCTTGCCCACCACCATGCAAAAAACAAAAAGAAACCAATCCAAAAAGAAACATTGGAGCAAGTCCCGCTGCAAGCCCAATAAGAACGCGCTTGGGTAGAAAAACAAACAGACCAAAACAACAACAACAACAACAAAAAACAGCCAGCCGCAGCAGAATGCTATGGGGCTGGAAAAAAACACCCAAAGCCCCACACAAACACACAACCAGCCCCAGTGGACAGCTATGGGGCTGGGGGAAAAGCACAACCCCCACACACACAGCCAACCCCTGCAGAATGCTGTGGGGCTGGAAAAAAAACACAACCCCATACACACAGCCGGTCCCAGCGGAAGGCCATGGGGCTATAAAAAGAAGACAACCCTCCCCAACACAGCCAGCCCCAGTGGAACGCTGTGGGGCTGGAGAAGAAACACAAACCCCCCCACAGACAGCCAATCCCAGCGGAAGGCCATGGGGCTTCGGAAAAAAAGACAACACCCCCCCAGACACAGTCGGTCCCAGCGGAAGGCCATGTGGCTACGAAAAGCAGAACGCTATGGGGCTGGGAAAAAACACAAACCCACACACACACAGCCGGTCCCAGCGGAACACAATGGGGCTGGGGAAAAACGCAACCCCACACACACACAGCCAGTCCCCGTGGAAGGCCATGGGGCTACAAAAAAAGACCACCCCCCTCACAGGCAGCCCCAGTGGAACGCTATGGGGCTGGGGAAAAACACAAATCCTCCCACAGACAGCCAGTCCCAGCGGAAGGCCATGGGGCTACGGGAAAAAAACCACAACCCCCCCACAGCCTGCCCCAGCGGAACTCTATGGGGCTGGGAAAAACACACCCACACACAGCCATTCCCAGTGGAAGGCCATGAGGCTACGGGAAAAAAAGACAACCCCCACACACAGCCAGCCCTAGCAGAACGCTGCGGGGCTGGAAAAAAGTCAACCCACACACAGCCAGCCCCAGCGGAACGCTATGGGGCTGGGGAAAAAACAATCTCTCACACACATAGTCAGTCCCAGCAGAAGGCCGTGGGGCTACGGAAAAAAAAAGACAAACCCCTCCACACACAGCCTGCCCCAGCGGATTGCCATGGGGCTGGGGGGGGGGAATACAAAATACCTCCCAACACAGACAGCCAGCCCAAATGTGATGCGACTGGGAGAAAAAAAACCCGAAAACACAAAAGACCTGACAGCACAGGAACATAACCCCCCCAAAAAAACCCAAGCCCACTCTGCAAAACAAAGTAAATGTACTTACCCAGGAGCAGAAAGGAGCACCAGGCAGTCCGAAGCCTCCTCTGACCAGTCACTCAAACCGTTGGGGGTGAAAGAGCTACAAAGAAACCACTTCTCCGCCTACCAATGGTTAGCAAATTAGAATTCCCAGCTTTTTTCCCTGCCTTTTTCCTGTCACAACTTGAAGCTCCAGCCGCAAGTCGAAGCAAAATTTTGCGGCCAGAGCTGGTCGCAACTCGAAATGGTCGTAAGTCGGGATATTCGTAAGTCGAGGCACCACTATCATGGTCTCTTCCTCCCTCTGTTGGCCAGATCTGGTAACTACACAATGAAAATATGTGTTTCTAGTTTTTTCTTTTAATATTTTCAAACTGTGGATAAGTGAAACTGTGGATACTGATTCTGTGGGTACGGCAGCCCTACTATATGTGATGGTTAGATACTCGTCTATATCTGGTCATTATTTCTAGTTTCAGATTTCCAGCTGCCAGACATTTTAGTCGTGTATATGGAAGGATTCTGCACATTTTATTATAGGAACTAACTTGTTGCGATTACCAAAGATATGGTTATGTTAGTCTTTTGATCCACAAAAACTCACACTGAAATAAATTTGTTAGTCTTTAATGTACCACAATACTTTGCATTTTCTCCACCACTAACCCCCATTTACTATTCAATTGTATCATAGAGTTAGCCTTGATAGAGCCACTCAAAGATACAGCCTGTCTAGAATTCTCTTTCCAATTTTTATCATCTAGATGTGTTCTAGAAGAGTCACAGCTGGACACAATAGTAATACACAATTCCTGTTGCCTCTGGTTTCTAGTAGTCAAAGACAGACTACTTTGGAATACAAGAGTTCTATTTTTAGTTTTCATGACGTTTCTTGTACTGGGTGTGCTTGATTAGATATGCAAATTGGAAGTGATGGAACAGTCTAGTGATCATGCTAATGGCGCTAGTCTGGGCTGAGTATCATCATAGTATCCTGTACAATATGTCTCTGAGAAATTCAAGCTGAAAAGTATGTGATCACCTAAGATATCAGTCTTTCATTCCATTTAATGCTTAGCAGTTTGACACAGGGGAAACCTCTTGCATCCAGCTGAGAAATAGTTCAAAGCCAGTATTTACCCTGGGCTGGACTAGTGATGCCCATCATACTTACATGAAATATCAGTTATAGAACTTAGAGAGTTTTTTGTCTGCAAAGTCTAAATCTCTCCATTTGCTTGTGGGCTCTCTGATATTTTAAAAGTGCTTAATCTCTTTTGGCCGAGAGTGGGAAGCAGAAGCTGAAATAGAGGGAAAATGTAAAGATATTTCCACATTTTTCTTTGCAGCACTGAGCTGGAAACATTTTTCAAAACTTTTCTAGACTGTAGCCAAATGGCAGCCAGCAAAAAAACACCTAGCTATAATTCTTAAAGACTCCATTATCCATGCCTAATCTGCTTGCCTAATAAAGCCATGGGTACATGGAATACTCATATCTTTTGTTCTTCTGCTTTGCTCCTGCTCCAAAAGGTTGCATGTCGGGTCAGACTGATCTAACCTGCATCAGGTTGAGTCATCTCTCGAATTTCAGTTTAGAAATTCCCAACACAGCAGCTATTTCTGTATTCTCTGCTTTGAGGATCCTTCCGTCTTTGTTACCTAAATATGTTATTAGTGCTGTCCGGTCTTGTATAACATTTGCCATCCCTTTACTTTGGCTGAGATAAAGGGAGGAAGTGGGTAGCTTTTATGATGATTGGCACATCCTCTTTCCTAGCAGATGATCAATTGACACTGATCATCTGTGGGAGGTTGCAAGAATATTGCTCATATGTTATCCAAAGAGTTGGATATACTGTATACGTGTCTTATTTTCCATCTGCACCCCTTCTCCAACAGCCCTTTGCTCTTCTGATTATAGAAAATTGAAAAAAAATGATTTTCTTATGTGGTAATCTTGATATTACTGAGTTTCTATTAGCACAAGGGCTCACAGCTGTTCTGCACAACTTTTATGAAGTTAACTTTGGACATGATTCTAAAATATGACTCCCAGCTGTGCAGGGCAGGCAACGCATCCTGTTTAGTATGAAGTATTTCCATTTGTTTTTGTGTCAATCACTTTCAAAAATTGTTTCAGACTTTTTAAAAAATGTGTTAGATTTTTATTAATCTTTACCTAGCTATTTAATATTTATAAAGATGCTTTACTTTATAGAACTTGTTGGCTTTTTGTACATAAAGAGGTTTTCAAGAGACCATTGTCTGATCCCTTTTTCTCATACAAGACTCAGACTGTGAGAGAGCTGAAAAACAATGGAAGCAATAATGGAATAAACAAATGGAATTCAACCAAAATGCTTGGTTTGGTATGTAGAAATCTTGGGCTCTATCAAGATATGTACTGTCTGCTTACATATATAAATCCTAACCTATACTGCAGAGAGAACCTGATTAACTGGGTTCTCTAGAGATTGCTCCCTTGTATACAACTGCAGTATGTTACCCACATCCATTATATCGAGTTTACTACTCCTAAATCTTGTCTGGAGGTATGCAACATTGAACAGTCATCCCAATGGTTTGTGTGCTGTGCTACATTGGCTCATACAGAGCCTTTAAAGCCAATATGCAGTTATACCTTTGCAAAGGAAAATAGTGCTTAAGTCAGCCTTCCCACTTTGATGTCCTCCAGATGCTTTGAACTTCATGATCCCTCACCATGAGCCCTACTGGTTAGGGTGAACAAGGAGATGCAGAGTAGAGCAGGTTGGGCAAGCCTAGCTTAAATCCCATCACCTACACTTTTGAAAGCTCATACTTAGAATGCCACCACTTTAAGCAGTAAGTCCAGGACTGTGGGCATTCTCTGAAGAGTTATTATGATTACTTCTTTTCTGGTATGTATGATATCTGAAGTACTACTTATATATACATACAAAGCATTTTTTTCTTTCTTTCTCTGCCTCTGAAAAGAAAGAGCTTGCCTACTGCTTTTTATAGTTTTCTGTGAAGATTTGTGTACATTCCTAGCTTGCAATATTTTAATGTTAAGACTGAATAAAAACTTGTTTTGTAACATTCCTTTATTCTAATGTTACTGATTTTTAGATTGGAATGATTAAAGGGGGGGGGTGTTTGTCTTTCAGAAAAGCCTCATTGCAGAATAATTCTAAGTGAGTCGTTAAGAAAAGACATTATTTAACAGAGTGAATAATATCTTTGACTGATGAAGTGTCAACATTCTTTTCTTGCTCTGAGGCCAACAGGAAATTCTCCTCAGTCCGATTTGATTTGGTTGTCAAAAAGAACGAAAAGTGTATCAAAAGAAGCACTTAGTCTGTTTGGAAATGCCGAATTCATGCTCAGAATTTGAGCTCGTAAAGAGGCACTGGCTTACAGTCAACTTTGAAAGTGCCGAATTTCAAGTGAGAAGTGTGTTATTTATTCAAGCTAAACCACTCTGATTTCAAAATTGGGAGTTGGAACTGTCAATAGCCTGCTTCACACACATGTATAAGCAAGAGCAAGTCTTGATTGCCATGGATGAAGGTGTACTGATAGTAAAACCAGAATATCCATGATGTCCCACTTGCAGTCCTTTTCAATATACAGTGGTGCCTCGCTTGATGATGTTAATTCACTCCAGCGAAATTGCTCTAGAGCGAAAACATTGTCAAACGAAATAAAAAAGCCCATTGAAGCGCATTAAAACCTGGTTAATGCATTCCAGTGGGCTGAAAACTCACCATCCAGCAAAGTTCCTCCATAGGGGCGGCCATTTTCCATGCCTGTGCAGCGAGGAAGCCATCCCAAAGCACAGTGGGGGGGGGCATTTTCTTCCGCCAGCGGCCATTTTGAAACCCGAAGATTAGCTGTTTTTGATCGTCGTAAAGCGAAAATCGGTTCCCGAAGCAGGGAACCGATCATCGCTAAGCGAAATCCCCCCATTTAGACCATCATTTTGCGATTGCAAAAACCTCATCGTAAAGTGATTTCCTCGTTAAGCAAGGCACCACTGCAATGTAATCAACTGATCTACATATGAACCAATTCATTGGTGATTCATAGATCAATGTAGAAGAATTGGGGGCATACTGTAAGAAGTCAAAAACTGGCACAGAGGAGTCCCATTTACTTATGTTGGAACCTACAAAATATGAGCGACTCTTTGATAAGCTCCTACCTATAGCCATATAGTCAAGAACTGTATAAGGAGAATAAATTTTAGGGTAGGCCTAACAAGAATATGTGGCAAACTCTGAATCCAGAACCATAAACAGTGTAGTTTTGACCCTGCTGAAGGGCAGTACCTTTGAATGTATAAAACTCTTAAGTCTGACATTACATTCTCTTGCTATTTTTTTTAACAATCTGCACCTAATATAACAATAGTGGATAGTTTTTTATATTTGTCATTCAGAATATGGTGCATTATACTTCATATTCTTTATAACCACCTTTTGCTTGCAAGTCATGGTCCACAAATGTCATCCTGTTACATTACTATAATGTACGTCTTCACTCTCCAAATGTATGCTTCAGTCAATTATTTGACAGTAGGACCCCTTTATCTGCGGGATCAGTATCTGCTGGTTCACTTATCTATGGTGTGAAAATACTAAAAATATTAAAAGAAAAATCCTAGTAATATTTATTTCTAAAGTTGATGTTATCAAAACTTACCACTAGAGGAAGTCAGAGACCATGACATGTATAGCATTCACTGGAGATATTTCCACAATGTCATTACCAGAACTGAACTGGCCACTAGAGGGAGCCAGAGACTGTGCTATATATAGCGTTTCCTATAATCTGCATTTTTCAGCATCCATGGGATGGGTTTGGAACCGACCCTCTTGGGTACGGGGGTGCCATAGTATATCATTGCAATTAAGAAACATACCCAATTTGAATTCAGTTCATATTGAATTCTTATAGATTAGGGTTTGTCATATTGAGTTAGTGTGGTTTACTTCCAGAGAAACATGCAAAAAAAGCACTAAGTATTTTATTGTTATACAGACTTAATTCTATTAAAAAGATGCTTAAGTGTAGCTTTGTCATCATCATAAATCTTGCTCATTATACTCCCAATACATTTTTAAATGTGTGGCCTTCTTGAGGCCCCATTGAAAGTGATGGAACAAATGAGTGACAAGAAAACTCAGTTCCACTGCTTTCAATAACATTTATATTATGATACACTGTCGCTGGATTAGAGCTCTACCCCAGCTTTCCAAAGCGATTTAACAAAATATGATTATACTTCAAACATTTTAACAGCATACAGTCATTTTAAGTGCAACACACAAATGATTAGAAGTCCCAAGATGCAAAGAGTGACAATCACAAGTTTGTTGTGACAGGTGCTATTGCTAGAGATGCATTGGCCTCTTTGCTCTCAGCCTCTCCATAACTTGGTGTCCAGTAGTAATGCCTTTTAAGGCCATGGGAGACTTCAGCGAGGTATGTGTGCCCATCGACTTCATATGGTTCAACATCTGTGCAAGTTGGCTTCAGGCGTCCACTCTGAAGTAACTCAGCAAAGGCCTGCAACATAAGATGTCAGGATGATCAAGAATACAGATACATGAGATGGCGCAAGGTACAAGACCGGTTCCCCCGCCCCGCCCCAAGAGACAAATAGCAGCTGTGGGTGGATGCAAAACTGGGAAAGGGGCAGAGTCCTCCACCTTGCAGTATTTTAATTCAAATCCCTCAACCCCAGAATTTTCCCCCAACAAGGTGAATAATAGCAAGGCAAGTAGACGGCTGGGAATAAGGCTTCAAAGAATAGAGGAATAAAGACTGAGCAAGCAAGATAATTTATCAGTGCAGCTCCTTTAAGTGTTCTAGGATTGTACTGCTGCATATGTACAGTGGTGCCCCGCATAGCGACTTTAATCCATTCCAGGATTAACGTCACTATCCGGATTTGTCGCTATACAAGGGGGAACCCATAGGAACGCATTAACCCCACCGGTAAGCGAAGATTCCCCCATCCGGCCACCATTTTCGCTGCCCGGTAAGCGAGGGCAGGGCGCGAAAACGCTGTGGGTGGCCATTTTCTGCACCCGGCGGCTATTTTGGAACCGCCGATCAGCTGTTTTCTAAACATCGCAATGTGAAGATCGGTAAGCGAAACGCTTACCGATCATCGCAATGCAATGTTTAGCCTATCATTGCACTGCGATCACATTAGCAATCGCAAAAACGCGTTACTATGCGGATGTGTTGTTAAACTGTGTGCTCGTTAAGCGAGGCACCACTGTACATCCTGATATAAGATAATTCCTTGTTTCTTACTCCGTAGAATTGGCTGCAGAGATGGAGGCTAATCAGCCACATTATTTAGAAGGTACGTAACAGTTTGTTTGTTTTTTTTTACCAAAATGCAGTGGAAGACAGGAGGGCCTGGCGTGCTCTGGTCCATGAGGTCACGAAGAGTTGGACATGACTTAACAACTAAACAACAACAATGGGGCTTTGTACCGGCTACTCTGGTATGCTATAGTTGCTGCGATGCGCTTGGGACATGGCCATGTCAGCAAACAGAGGTCTGTTCCTGGCTATGTTATGTTCCTGCCACAACCCTCAGTGGAAGAAAAAAATCTGGGAGAAGACATCCCACCTTTCCATTCAGCACTAATCATATTGCTTTTCAATACAGTGTAGCCAATTGATAGTGCAGCAAGATGTACAGAGCTAGGTTCGTGTTTCAAGTTGCAGGTCTGTCCTGCGCTCTAAAGGAGACGTGATATGGGTTAAGGAGAGCAGGAAACAAAAGATTAGAGTGCACCCTTGGGGGGGGCATGGGATAAAGTAGGGATGGAAGCATGGAAGGAGAAAAAAAGGGACAGAGAAGCTAAGGGTAGAGGGACGCATAGGATGGTCATCGCATAGTGACAGCAAGAATTGATTCACCTGCACTGATTTCTCTTTCTTTCCAGTCTTCATTCCAAACATGGGTTCTTACCTTGAAAGCCATTCTGGCTTTTAACGCAAGGATGAGCACATCGTAAATACTGTTCTTTTCCACACATCCTCTTCCTGCACAATGTTGAGCTCAATATCTGAAATCTCACCCCCATCTTCTACTACTTTGTGAAATCTGGCACTGGATACGAGAGACAAGCCCTTACTGTCTCCCTGGCACCATCCCTTGTATGGCTTCTGGGACATCAGAGAGACCAACTAATTTTAGTACAGTGAGTTTCCTAATCTGCCTCTCTTGTTGCTTTTATGGTTTTGGGGCGTTGCAACATCTATTTTCTTATTTAATTCTAAGAAAACAGAATCTGTCCTGGATTTGACTTCTTTTGTTGCCCACTCTAGACCTCTCTGATGGGAGAAAAGTGTTTAAATTAATTAACGTTAAACGGGAGGGAGAAAGAAAGAAACCCCTTCTAACCCTCAACCATCTCTACACAACCATTTAGTAAATTATCTTAATCCTTCAACTTTAATGGGCAAGATGACACTTCAGTTTCTTTAGTCACTCAGGATTTTCAGACTGTATGAGCCATTTAGAAACACACATGCCCGAAACTTATGCGGAACTTCCAATGTCCTGCCCTTGGGCTCTTTTTTCTGGGATAGAAGCCAACATCAGTGAGTCGGTATTAAAACTCATTTTCTGGATTATGTCTCTCAGTATGCAGCCACTGGCAAGAGGATCCTGAGAGCTGTAGGCTGGGGTGTGCGAATAACTTCTCCAAGCGCTACCGAAACATGGCTGGGGCAAGCAGGGCTGTGGCAGAGGTTTGGATGAAGAGACACAAAGTTCCTGCTCTCCTTCCAGACCAGCTCTGATGCTGCGGCTACCAACGCGGGCCGTGGAGTGCAGCAATGCTGAGCCTGCTCTGAACAGCAGGCAGGCGGTCGCAATACTGATCTGCTTCCGCAACGGCATGGCAGAGGCAGAGGATGCTCCCAACTTTGCTTTCGCCACAGAAGAAAACAGAGGGGGGGGGAAACAAGACCTACCACACAGGTGGCTTCATCAAATTTGTTCCCCCAGATGTAGATATAGGAAAGAACTGGGTTTGTTTTCATGGCCTCTGCAAGGGCAACCAACCCTTTCCCAGTAATACTGTCATTTGTCACGGCTAACCTGGTAAACAGAAGGGCAAAAAGCAGAAAGAACAGCCATTATGCAAAGGTCAGGTTTTTCTAGACTACTTGAAAACATTGTCATGAGCCACAAGTAACACTGTGCTTTCCCCTAAGCAGGTTTTGGACCCCAGCTGCTACCATCAGCCGTAAAGCCCTCTCCAACTGTTCTCTTAACATCTTGTGTTGTTGTTTTTTCAATCCGCACGAACCAATCCAAACTGAAGCACAGAAAAGAAATTCTGACTTCAGCTGGTGTCTAAGATCTGTAAAGGATGGCACTTGCTATTTTCAACCTTACCTATACTACCATTCTATTTTCAAGCCCTACTTAAAGCTGTAGGATGGGTGACAATCATGGTACATTGGAGACTAGCTAAAACAGAATCTACATATTGCCCATGACATGTAAAACCAATATTGCATGTGGAAAGCACTGGGCCATGGCTGGACATCTGGATGAAGCAAATCTCCACAAAAGAGAGCTTATATAGGATAAGAATTGGCGCAACTAGATATTAAAATATGGAAAGATCTGGGTCCCATGTAAAAGGCTCTAGTGTTGCCTTCCATTTGTAACACTTACACATTTTCCCACTGCTCTTTCTGCTACAAAATAGTTCCAGAGGGGAAAAAAATTAATAGCTGCATAAATTGTTTTGTTAGGACTACTAGGAGCTACCTATCTGGAAGCATTGGGGCTAGATTGCCTGCGACTCTCCTCTGTTTTAAGAGACGGGACATGAATTCCAAACTGCCAGCTGAAGAGAAGCTGGAAATCAACATGCATGCTGCTGCTATCTATCTTTGGTTGACCTAGTTTGAATGGGATTGACTTGCAAAGGTTCGTCATGGGTCCAAGAAGAAAGACACTTATGTGTGAATGCAGGGAAAGTTAAGGGACTTCAAGAAATCCTGGGCACAGTGATGTGCACATCAAATCTGCTCATACAGCCACCTGTGTTCCAATTCATATTGGTCTGGCAACTGACATGTTCATCCTCCTCAAAATCAAACCCCAAAGTGATCCAGCAACACAACAATCTGTGACTTAATGTCATTCAGTTACCCAGCTATGTGAACACTGAGCTGGCCCAATTGTGCAAGTGACCAAACTTAACTCAATCCTTTTGTATTACTACTGACAGCAGGTGCTCCAAAAGGGGATCCCAAGATCCTTTGCAAAACTGCAGAAGACGCCAAACTGAGATCCTTGAAATTGTACCCTCCCCACAAGGCCATCACCACTAACTTAGCAAATTTAGTGGGATAAGCTTCGCACAGTGGGATTTGGGTCTGAAGCATAAGTACTCTATCCTGCCATATCCAAATATCTGCTCTTACAAGAATATATTTTAGGAGTTATGAGTTGTGCATACTAACGCTTGAAGGGTCCGGTTATGCGTAGTTAGTGCCTCACTCAGATAGAAAGCGCCATCATCTTCTATTCTGTTAAAATTAAGATCCAGGATTTCTAAGGTATTGTTCTGTTTCAACATCTCTCCCAAAAATCTTACACCATCTCGAGTAATTTTGTTGCTGAAAAGAAACACACACATTTGATTTTTTTTTTTTAACCAGAAACAACTTCTTGTAGAGGATGACGTGGAGCACAGAGTTAAGACTCTAATCTACAAAAAGTTTATTCCATTATAAAGCTGGCTTCACAATGACTCAAACTCTTTGTGGCTGTTGTTCCCAACAGTGAAGGTGTGTTGTGATAAGTCAATAGGACATGAATGGGATGTCTTTTTCAAGGTTTTTTATTATTATTATTTTTTTTTTGCAAGTTTGGTCATAGATTGGCGTCAAGCATAAATAACTTCCTGGCCTCTTGGTGGGTACTAATTGAGTGAATGCTGCCAGATTTTAATAAGTTGAAAAGGAAAACCACATTAGTATTATATGTGTGGCACCCGCCCAGGTCATGAATATTGATGTGATGTCTGCATAGACCAATGGGAGCGCTGGAGGGGCGGAGTCACGAGATATAAGAGACTCAGGAGGAGGAGGAGTTAGTCAGGAAGATTGAGAGTTTAGGGAGTTGAAGGGTTTTTTGGGAGTTTGGGCGGGAGAGTGATGGTTGAGAATGGATGAAAGAGGATGTTTGTTAAGAGTTAACATTGCTTGAACTATCATAAGCTGTAACTAAACAATTTCTATTTGGTTCTTTTAAAAATGATTTGTTGCTTGAACCTCTATTATTAATATTAAACAATGTTGATGTAATCAACTGGTGGCAGCTGAAAGATACGTAGTGTGAGTTCTTAGTTTGGTGAAACAATCAGGGGCCACGTGGGATCGTAACAACCTGTGTCTCTTGAGTTTTGCTGTATAAGTCTAATGCTCTCTCCCTATCGAAGGTTTTTATGACAAATGTCCTGTAGGACTGTAACTTGGGTTCCCCCCCCCTTCCTTTGTTCATCTCAGAAGCATCACAGTACAATAGATGTATCCGATATTTTTTGGCCAATGATGAGCAATGTCAAGAGCGTTTGGGACAGCTAACATCAGGACTTCCATAATCCATGTTGAAGGGCATAGAGTTCCTTGAGATAAGTTAGAAGTTGCCAGTTCTTCTCCATACTTGCATAAGGACTGCACCAGTGCAAGCCCCTCATTTTCTTAGTTTCACTTTGGTTCTGCCAACCCTAGTCCATACTCTATTAAGTGACCTCCAAGTTACCAAATTCTCCTTGTAACCAAGGGCTAAACTTTGCCGGGGAAAGAAAGAAAGAAAGAAAGAAAGAAAGAAAGAAAGA